CCCGGTTTTGGGCCCAACCGGAATTCCGGTCCGGGCCAGTCCAACCAACCGGCCCGGCTGGGACCCGTCCGGTCCAACCCTGCTCAGGAGTCAGTTCCCAATTTTAAGAGAATTCCAGCTAAGATAACAGATCCAGCAGTGTGTGCTTCTACATGAGCTTCAGGTAATCAAATATGAACTGGTACCATAGGTACTTTCACTGCAAAAGATGCAAAAAAAGCAATCCATAGCAAAAAAACACAAAAACGATTCGGGAGCGAAGCTGTATGAAAAACAGTTGCTGGAAAGGAAAACCACTCAAACAATTAACTTTTAGTTTCAGAAAGGCGTCTGCTGGACGAAATTCCACAGGTCGTATCACCCTTTTCCGTAGAGGCTCCCATGCAAGCATCATGTTGAGCTCAGTAATTACGTAACTTTTTACATCCCCACCCATTGCCCTCAACAATTGGCAGCAGGTGCAAGGGCCGGATCAACCCGACTACTACCTGCAAGGACATACTTTCCCCCCCCCAGTTACTGTGGTGAAAAGGTAGCTTCCCCCCTTCAAGGAGTGGCAAAAGAGAGCTGACATGCACCCCCAAGCTACAGAGCCTTATTAGGTAGGTATGGGCCCGTATGGCAGGTCAGGACCGCAGGTAGTGGCGGCTCAACACAACTGCCAGTGGGTGGTCCCACCATTTCATTCACATATACCACACCACAATATAACACAAGACTATCACACAACACTATGACAGAGCAACGACATCGTGCAAGTTGCGCAGCACACAAAATACTACAAAATTAAACCAGATAGGTGCACGGCATACAAATACTAGGACCTGGCAAGAATGTCAATAAACCACTATACAGCAAAACAAAAAGAAATCCGATCTCCACACACCACACACAATGAAAGCTCACACAAAGATTCACACCAAAGCCAGAGATGGACATTGGACACCACATCAGCGCAGCTCGGATATTTCAATGAATATTCATATTATACAAATTCAGACTTCAGATAGCCGCCACTCATCAGCACATGCAACAACAACCTCCATCAGGTATGTACCCAAGTATCCGCCCCTGCAGCTACCTGTCTCAATCTCTCTCTCTCTCTCTCTCTCTCTCTCTCTCTCAATCTCAATACCTCTCTCTCTCTCTCTCAATCTCAATACCTCTCTCTCTCTCTCTCTCTC